CCGTGGCCCGTGCGGTCATCCGGCAAGCTAATCAATGCGCGCGGCCGGCCCCCTTGCTCGTTGTTTGTTTGACGGCCACCGGGCGGCCGGCTTGCATGGGCCCCCTCCCCGCAAACGAAGAGCCGACCTTCGCCAAGGGTGGGTCGGCCAGCCGCCAACCCCTGCTTCTTTTGTCTTTACGCGCCCTGCGCGAATCGGGAGCGGAGTCGGAGGGGCGGGGCGCGGGCTGCTCTGGCCTCCTTCGTTTTATTTGCGCGGCCCGCCGGCTGGCCCCGCTGGCTGCGCAACGGGCAGCACGGGGCAGGGCCGGCACATGCCCCGGGCAACCGGGCCGGCCCATTGGCCCGGCCGGCGGGCAGACGAGCGGCGAGGCGTCTTGCACGCGGGCGCGCGGGCGCCAAAGCCTTGGCGGCGCGTTGCGGGCTACTCCTGGGGCGGGCTCGCGGCCGGGGGGTGCGCAGCGTGCGCATTGGGGCGGCCATCGTCCCGACTGGGTGGCGGCAAGCCTCACGCGCATTTTCGCCGGGCCGGTTGCGCCCGGGCCGCGATGCGCATGCGGGCGGCCCAGCATGTGCCGGTATTTTCGAGAGGAGGCAACGAGCGGGGGTGGGCCGGGGTGCCGATGCAAGAAAAAAGAAGCCGAGCGGACCGGGGCACTGAAGAATGGGAGAGGGGCGCCCCAGGCTGACGGACCGACCCCCCCCTATGGCGCTCGGCCGCCCCTGGTCGGGCGGTAGAGTTGTATGTCCGCGGGCGCCGGTTCGGTGTTGCCTAGCTGCTGCCGCCAGGTAGGTAGCTAGAGCGCTCGACGCAGGGCCGGCGCGCCCACTTCCCGCTGGCGTAGGCTCCCGGGGGGTGCAGCTTTCTCTGGTTTATGCGCGCGGGCATGTTTGTCTGCACATGCAAAACAAGGGCCGCCCTGCGCGGCCCTTTTCTTTTGCTTACCTTTTAATTGCAAGCGGACGGCGCGTGTGCGATGGAAGCGCTTCGCCGGGCCCGGCCCGCCGTTGGTTCAATGATTCGCCGGCCCTAAGTAGCGAAAGCCCGCCTGGGCGGTCGGTCGAACTGTGGCGCGGTGGCTTCGGCCTGATGAGCATATGCTTGCCCGGGGCGGTTGCTAGCTTCCGTGCTCCGTTTCAGGGAGTCGGCGCGCCAAAGGGGGGGCTGGACGATTGGGGCCCCACGGGATGCCTTGTGCGCGATTGCGGGCAGGCGGGCGCGCGGTTTTTCTCCCGCGCGAGGCCGGCCCATCGCTGCGGCAGGCCGCGTCCCGGTTGGGCGGGCGCAGTGAGTGTCGCGTGCCCGATGCGTGGCGTAGCAATGGCGCCCGCGGCATTGTGGGGAGGGCGGGGCGGCGCAAGAGAATCGCGGCGAAACCTGCCTGATGGTGTCAGAGATGACGGGCGCAAAATAAGTCATGTCTGAAGGCTGTGGCGCGCGCCCTGCGACCGGCCGGGGGGATGTGCGAAGGCATCAAGCGCCCGCAGCTTTTTGATGATTTCCCATGTGCTCCATACCCTCGCGCGTGACGTTATGCCCGGCCCAGTGGCCGTCTTTAGATGTTGCGGCGAAGCATGGCAGTGCAAGCTTCCCGCCGCTGCGGTCCAGCGCGTGTTCTTCGTAAGCTTGCCGCGCTCGGGTCAACGTGCGTCGGGCCCTACTGCTCCTCACACATAAAAAAAATGGGGCAGCGGGTTTGCAAAATGGCGCGCCGGCGTCTCTCGTGAAGACAAGTCCAGGCAGGCAACTTGTCCGAAAAAAACCAAAAATCGGAAAAACTTTGCAAAAAGTGCACCATCCAAAAAAGTCGCGAAATTGTCGCGATTTTTATGGGTAGCGCACTTACGAGTTGAGAACTTACGTTTTGAGGGGGCCATAGTTCTTCACCCCCTTTTCTTCTCCACCAGCGGCGCCGACGCATTAATTTCTCGCGGCTAGTAGACAAATTGTATGATTGATGTTGTGATACTAGAGTGTTTTTTTCACGGTAGAAGTGGTGCTCCTGAGTACTTACGTCACTAGGAAGCGCGAGTGAGTTCTTGCTTCCCCATCAGCCTACGAGAAGGTGGGAGAAGGAAAAGTTACACTGTCGAAAGCACAATGCGGCATCGTCAACACCTGCAGCAGTTCTTGCTGTTCTCTTGGTTTTCCCTTTCCCACGCTAGTACAACGAGTAGAGGAGTACAAGCAGCGGCTGCAGCTTCCGAAACGTCCGATACAGCTGTTCCAGCTCCATCTGCTGCTGAGAATATTGAAATTTGTTCTACAAGAGCCCGCCTGGTTCAAACAGTGCGACACGTACTGAGAAAAACCTGCGCCGGGCGCTTGAGGCCGCAGCAGGACCGAGGGCGAGGGGCGGCGATATCTTCTACAAGTCCAAATATTTCTGCAGGAGGGCGACGAGGAACGCCACAGCCGAGTGAGCTGCAAAAAGAGGATGGACTGCGAGAGGAACGTCGCCCGGAGCCCGACCAAGCGATCGACGAGGGCATTGTCGAGGACAGAAGGGGCGCATCTTATCGCAGGGGCGCGAAAAATATTGCGACTCAGGCTTCCGCCGGTGACAACTTTATTCGGATGATACCGGGCCCGCCGCAAGAGACCCGGCGTCGAGGTTTCGTTCCGACATTCGGAAACGATGGCGCCTCATCAAGTGGAACTACGAGTGGAGGCACGGAGATCCGGACGGGGCAAGAGAGCGACAGCGAGTCGGCAAGCCGTGCTGCTAACGTAGGAAGCCGGGCGGGGGTGAAGATAAAGCTGAACAGAGCCGATTCATTACCGAAGGAAAAACAAAATTACGCTGGAATGCAGGTAGAGGCCTTACAACGGGAGGACAGGCCCGTCAGAATGAAGCAACCCGTTGCCGTACCGGAAGTGCGTAGGGATCTTTTGACCGATATCAAACGCGTACAGCCGGGGCTACTTCTCTCTGGACCAACGGGTTTTTTGAATGAGCAGAACGGCATTTTGAGCTTCTTATCCGCTGGGGACGCAGCTGCATTGTTGGGAACTGCCAAGCCGAATTCGGAAGCAGACGCAACCGGTGCGCAACTTGCTGCAGCCGCCCGCGCCCAGAAGACTCTGGGTAGAGCACTAGAAGAGCGAGCGGATAGCTGTGAAGACCTCTACATAGAGGTTTTGCGGGAGCGATTGGGCACAAAAATGCCTATTGACTATTGGAGCGACACTGTGGACTTGGGCAGGGATTATTTACAAAAATACCAATCTGAAGTTGAAGTATCTCGAGCAGAGGGTGGCAAACGAACTTCTGCGGCCGCTACGGATTGGAGTGTACTGCCCTTTTGTAGAGCCAGCACATTTATTGATATGTTTCCCTTCAGCTCCGTTTTTTTTCGCTCGCCTGCCGTTGCCACTTGCGCGCGATTATTCTCAACGCAAGGCGAAGGTGGTGCGATCGTGTCGGCAATGCACTCAGACTCACTTCACTGGCTGCCACTGCCTGTGCGTTACTAGCGCTTGCCCTTTGAATAGATACTATCTATGCATCTGTAAAATTTCAACTCTAACCTTCTGTTTCAGGTACGATTTCTGATGACCATGGTTAG